TTTGGTTTTGGATTTGGTTAACAATAAATATTGTTGAATGCAAGATTGTAAATATTTCTTTTTAAGACCATTGCTTATTTTAGAAGCTTTTTATTCTCAGACTCTGAATTATGGAATTGTTTTTCTCCTATCATTTTATCAAATGAAATCTCAATAGCTGCTTTTCTTATTTTAGAGCTATGAGAATGTTAATATCTAGTCCTGTGACTCCTTTTTTGTCATCCAAAATTGTTTTGATTTTTTTCTTTAATATACTTGCTTATTCTCCTTTTATCCTTTCCTATTTAAATCTTATTACTCCTATACAATTACAATTATCCCTTATTTATTCTTATACCATGATTTCAATTTATGTCTTGGGAAAAAAGCAGCCAGAGGGCTCCTTAGAGGCAAGGATGGTAACACTTAGCCTCACACACTTTAGCTGTGTTGCTGGAAGAGGCCATTCTTTGGAAAGGGATAGCATACTTGAAAAGATGGGCGGTCAGTGAAAGAGAGGAAGACCGCACTAAGGTAGATTGACACTGTGACTGTAGCAATGGAATCACTGTATTTGAGATCATGAGGACGGCTCAGGATAGAACAGGATTCAGCACTGTAGTTCCTGGGGTCACTCTAAGTCACACTCAACTCGATGGTACCTAATAACAATGATTTTAGTGAGTATTTTGGTTGGAAGAGGCAATGAAGTCAGGTGGTCAATGAAACCCTTTCTTTCCCAGAAGTTGGGTTAAGATTTCATGAATTTGTCTCTTTGCTTCAATGTAGATGGGATTGCAAGGACATATTAAGTGTAATGATATTTTTAAAAAGTACTAGTACATAACAATACTAACTCAATAGTAACCGATAGAAAAAAGCACAGGCATATGGAGAGAGATTTGATTCCCAGATGGAAACAGATAGCAAGGTGCTAGGCATTGGCCAGTGCATTGGCTCAGAATTCCAGTTACTGGGACAGTGTCCAACAAGTCTCATCTCTTAAAAGACTGGAAAAATAAAGACTTTAATAAAACAAGACTCTTTGTGATCTATTTGTTTTGCACATGATATTATACTCAATTAGTATTCCATCATTTAATAAATCTTTAATCATTTACTAAATGTTTAACTTAGAACACTCAACAATGTCTAAACCTCTTCTAAATTATTATCAATTAACATTTGCACTTAATCCTTCAGGAGATTTATAGTGTGGTAGGTAAGTCAGGAACACAAATAACACTCTAGTTCTGTTTATTTCTGTTTCACTTCTTTTTCAGTGTCACTCAATTAGGCTAGACAAGCTCTCTCTGGACAAGTCATGGAGCTGAGAATGGAGCGATCACTGATCTAGACACAGTTTTTGCTAGAATTAGAAAAAGTTGGCCTTTGAATGATATAGATAAAGGCTCCCTGGGAACTCATTGTAAATTTGTTCATTTTTATGTGTCCTTGAACAGGACGTGGCTCACATCTGATCCTCCAGTGGGTTATAAAGAGGCTGTAAATCCCACCAGAGGATATTGTTTCTCTTTCTCTTACAGAGCAGCTTGTGCCTTTGCGTTGGCAGTGCAATTTCTTACAGAGTGTGAATATCAGCTCCCTCTTTCTCTCTGGACAGGGTGTATTGGTAGTTGGAACGACTTATAAAATCCCACCAAAGGGAAGTTTGGCTGGGCTAATTTCTTACTGGTTTTAGTGCTAAAGTATGGGTAGAGTTTCTCCGACCGAAAGCATCACTCCTGGCAGTCCCTCCCCAACAGTGTGATGGATATAGCCCATAGGTCTAAGTCCTTGCGGCAGACTGAGTTAGCTCTAAAATCAGCACTTCAACTACAAATATAATCTATAAGCAATAAAATTTAAAAACACAGGATCAACAAAAATAAATAGAAGAGGAAGGTGGTTTTCTGGAAACATCTGACATGTTGGAGAATGAGTAAGATTAATTGGGAAAATTTGTGAGGTCTGAGCTGCAATATAAAAGAGGAAGGAATTAAATCTATCAGATTGTGTTTCCTGTACAATCATAAGAGCTTGGGAAATAATTTCCTGTATGACAGAGACTGAAGGAAGAACAAATTAATCAGAAGAGAAAGTTTTTTAATGCATTTTTCTAAGTTTTAGAGTTTCATTTTAAAGAATAGACACTTGAGAATCTGAGAGCTCAATTAATATGCCCACAGCCATTCTATTCTGTAGCTTCACAATCCAGAACTGTTTTAATGCACTGTTTCCTCCCAGACCTTTGGGAATCCCCTAAACGCTAGTGCATCTAGACATTATTTCACCTTCCCTGTGTCTCTGACCTCTAACGAGACCATTCTGCTTTAGACAAATTATTCCACTAAAGCTACTGAAAATCATACCTATCAATAGACACACAGCTGAATAACAAACTTTACATGGGAAGTAGTGGGTTTGAAAATGCATACACACAGCTTCAGTAAACCAAGTGGGGAGAAAATCGGATATAAGAGCTCCTGGCAAAAGTAGAGGGTAGAGGTATAGTCAAGACCAGAGAGATGATAGGGAAGACTAGTCACACTGACAGAAAAGACACAGGGCCAAAGCAGATTCCTTAGCATTCTCCTACTTTGAAGATGGGAAGATTTCATGGCTTAGTGGGAAAGCCATGTGGTTTGAATCCACTATCTGCTGCACAGGAGAATAATGTGCCCTCTTCGGTGCAATTTATAGCCTCTGAAAACCTACTGGAAGGTCAGGTATGAGAGAATTTGAACTCAAATGAGTCGAGTACAATTTGAAGGCATTGATTACTAGCAACAGAATAGTACATACTAGTGCACATTTAAAGCCATTCAGAAGCAAATTCCATATATAGACATACCCTAAGAACAAAAATTCTCTTTTGCTTAAATAAGTTTGGTCCTATACTTACATTCACAAGGATCCCACATAGTGGATGACTAATTATTTTATATTTTATTTTTACTGCAGATGTGTTACCTTCTTTGATCTTGGTCTTGCTCACTTAGAGTCACACACACACACACACACACACACACACACACACACACACAAGTAAGTCCATCAGACCACAGCTCCAATAATTTTTTTATCACTAAATCTTCAATTGAACTTAAATACACACCTAAACCTTTCCTGTTAATCCAATACTTCCCGTAGACCTACTTCTCCAACGTTCTAGCCCTCAAATCCTGTATTCCTCTTCTTTGAAACATGCATCAAACTCAAACTCATTGACATTGAGTCAAAATCAACTAACTAACACTCCAGCAGGTTTTCAAAGGCTGTAAATTTCATAGGAGATTGCCTGTCTTCCTCTTGAGAAACAGATCATAAGTTTGAATCATGTGCCTCTGGGCTAGACACACAACTCCCTTTCTGTAAGCCACCCTTGGAATCTCCTGTTCAGCTCTTTCAATCGCCATATTCTGCTATAAACGTCTGTTATTTTTATCCATTTTCCTACTAGAGCCAATATGTATTGTTTCCACTTTTCTTATAACAATGTCTCAGTTAATATTTTTAACATGATTACTGACCCAGTCTTACAGCTATTCAGCCTCTTCTTTCAGCTTTCTCCATGTTGCTTTAGATTCATACAATAATGAAATGCTTTTTTATTTTCTCAACTAGGATATGACATACTGGATGACTTTTGCTCCTCTTCTTTTCACTCAGAACATTCCTGGACACCTCCTAGATTTGAGTTCAGATGTTTCTTTACTGAGATGCCTTCTTAACAGCCCCAAATCTGGTTAGATTTTCCCTTTTTGTCTTCATAAGTTCGTAACTTGATGCATTAACGTTTCTTCATGTGTTTTCTAATTTCTTGTTTGACTGCTGGTGAGAACCAGAGAGAAGAGAGAGGATCTGTGTAGATAAAAAAGCACCCAGCACAGAATTTGGTAAATAACACATGCTTAGAAGTTAATTTGAAGACTCAAAGACTGATAGAAAAAACTCACTGTTTATTCTTAAAAATGTGTTTTATATAAGTATGACGGCAACAATGGGCTCAAAAACCAACAACTATAATGATGATATGGAAAATCAGGAAGTGTTTGTTCACTTGTACATAGGGTCACCATGAGTTAGAACTGACTTTATGGGACCTAACGACAGTGTAAGTGTATGTAAGTTTAGTAAAGTATTATTTAACCATTATAAAGTATGTAATTAAACCGTCTTGATACTTATTATGTTATTTTCCTGAATTTAAAGTCCTTTATAACACATTGCTGCGTGAAGGTACACAGCTTGATTTTTAAGTTACATTTTTCTAATAGATTATAAAATAAAAATTTTATTAAACAAAAAATAACAGAAAACCCTGGTAGGAAACCCCTCCTGTGAAATTAACCCTTAATGAGGGTTACTTTTTTATTTGACAATTTGCATGATACTGAGCTCTGGTGGTTCAATGGTAAGAAGCTGTGCTGCTAACACAAAGGTATGCAGTTCGAATTCACCAGCCACTCCATTAGAGGAAGATAGGCAATCTCTTCCTGTGTGATTTACAGCTTCTAAAAATCCACTAGAGGGTCCACTGAGTAGGGCTGACTGTGAGGGAACATAACATTTGCAAGTTACAAAAATGGCAAGGAGAAAAACAGTATTTGATATACTATGTATTTTTTCTAAAAATAAGAACCATTCAAAAAATGCCTTTATCGGCAGCAAATTAACTTCATAGTGAACCTAAAATGGAAAAAACAAACAAACATGTTTTTCAGAGATCTGTATTATTTTAAACCACATGATTTAATAATTGATCCAGTTGAGTTCTAAAGTCTTTTTTATTCATTCTAAGTGCCTATATTTCAATAAAATATTTATGAAAGATGAATCATTGTATTCCCTTCTCTCCTCCTTACCCCCTCAGGGATTGTATTCCATTAACTTCAGAAACCTATCTTTATATGTTTTTAGGGTTTGTAATGTAATATGTTCTTTAAAAATGGGCTCTAACATGCAATTATTTTAAATTACTAAATTATACTAAGTCTGTGCTGTATTTCCTTAGAAAAATGAGCAGGTGGACTTGTTGGATTTGTAAGATGTGCAGAGATGAATCGAAGAGACCCCTTTCCAAGTAAGTAGCATTGACTTTCTATAAGTGTTAAAAGGAATATTTGTCATGTGATAACTATGTGTAACCATGTGTATTTTAATTCAACCACTCTCATGGTATTTTATTCAGAGAGACAATTTGCATCTACACATGAATAATTCCACCAATAGTGAAGTCATATATTACAGAGAAGACTACAAGAAGCCTTAAAAAATGAACTTTGTAAACAAACCAATACCAAATAAAATAAAGGTATTTTCGATGAATTAAAAAAAAATTTAGGCACTTGAACCTTACACTACAGGCATGGGTTTTCTTGATGCATTATCTCATAATTTTCTGTTATTCATGGCTCACACTGGAGAAATCAGCAAGTTAAATATTTTTAGATGGTTTACTATGAATAAAAATTATTGGATTTTAGGAAATTTTACATTGTTTATGTTAATAAGAGACTGTGCTTTAAAATATGCTCATAGTTTAAATCCAAAATGTATAACATGGTTTCATTTCTCAATGAAGAAAGTGATATTGAAGGGGTAACCACGTGCTTATCAAGCTATCAAATCTTTTCAATGGCCCCACACACCTAAAAATGTAGCCCCCTTTAGCCGCTCACCTTTTAGTAGCATCCATATGCTCAAGCACTGCCACCGGTGGTGTTCCTTTGGATAGAAACAATCTCAACTAAAATTCCTGGAAAAAGTAACAAACCATTCAATTGAATTTGTTCCTCTCAAATAATTCCCTAGAGCAAGAATCCCTGTAGCATGTAGCATTGCTGATCAAGACGCTGGTGGTTTAAACTCACCAGGTACTCTGTGGGAGAATGATGAGGCAATCTACTTGCATAAGTTACAGCCCTGAAAACTTTATAAGGTAATTCTAACCTGTTCTTGAGGGTATCTATCAACTTGAACCAACTCAACAATAGCAAAGAGGTAACTCAGTGTCTGGCCACATCTACTTGACACAAAAAACCTACTGGTGTGCACACTCAGATGTGTTATATAAAAATGCCTTAAGATGCTTATAAATTGCTGTGTAGGGAAGAAGAGGAGGTTGCAATGGAGGGGAGAGTGTAACACTCTAAATTCAGCATTGGGAATGACTCATGGAAAGTTAGTCAGCACAGTTATATCCAAGGAGTAAAGAATATCAGGATGATTTAGGAGTCTTTTTTTTTTTCTGATCACTTCCCACAGCATTTCACTTTTCAGTTAGCTGCCTCATACATCCTCCATCAAGAAAGTGAAAATTTGAACATATTCATGATACGCTATTAGCTAACTGTTATTGGACAGGTTCTTTTTATCACTACCTTGTAATTTACTCTGCAAATATTATCCTCATTTTATAGATAATAAAATCTGGGCATGAAGGTTAAAACTCACACCCAAAGTTAGTAAGTTTTATGATGTTAATTGAAAGTGCAGGTGTGTCAGATTGCAAATGATCTTCTTCACTCTTTCTCTGATGTCATAAAAACTCTGAATGCTTCTATATCTGGTTTGTATCTACCATTCATAGGCCAGAAGAAAGGAGGAAATACGAAAGTGGAAAATTCTTATCAGAAAGTTTAGGTGGATGAAGGTACAAATCAGTTGATAAATACAATGCCATTGAGCCTGTTTCAATACATATTGACCCACCTTTGAGTTTTCAAGGCTATAAACGGACATGAGAAGATTGCTTACCTTCCTCAAATGGAGTGAGTCACTCGTGTATTCACACTGCCAGAGATGTGAAGCCTTTTGGTTAACAGCTCAACATCCTACAGACTACAACCCCAGTGCTCCCTACAATTGTTATAAGAGCTTCGAGGTGACCATGAAACAGTGTGAACTAGAATATTCACAATATTATTATAAGCAAAACCAAAAGTAAATTGCCATTTACAGCTTTACTTCCATCCAAGAAAACTCGAGTCATGATCTATCTCCATAAATCTCCTAACTCTTAGGAGTAAGGGAATTCTCTAGCCAATAAGTACTAAGACCTAGTTTTAATTTGAAGATAGAGTCTCTGGGTGGGAAACATAGCTGCTATCTGAAAGATTAGAGGTAAAATCTCCTCACAAATCCCTGGGAAAAGACACAGCCATTGACAACATTATGCAGGATAGTTCTACCCTGAGACATATGGGATGGCTTTGCATCTGAAGCAAGGAAGCAGCAACTAATTGCCTTTTAATTTCATAAAAGTTAAATCAGGAAAGTTAAGATAATCCTATGTATTGAGGACTAGTAGGATGGATAGGCAGGCAACACACCTCGCCTAGCACTTTCTGTTCTGCTGTATTGAAAAGGTTATTTTGGGTACAGTTTTTCAAGTTCTAATAAGAGAACTGTGAGTCAGATACCATTTCATGGAAATGTTTTTGGAAAGCAATCTAAACCACAGCACACTGCTAAGCCTCTGGACTGATGCAAATAATCCATTTGAAATTGTCAGGATCCAACTGAATTTTCTGAATACAAAGGACAGTTGATCTTTTCAAGGCTCCCAATATTTTTCCATGTTCTTAGTTCTAAGTTGCCCATGTTCCTAGATTAGTTTTTTTTTAACTTCATTAACTAACTTATCATTGTGTTAAGTACCTGCTAATGCCCGTGGCTGTTCCATACACTTTAATTATTGGGTTAACTAAGAAACAAGGCTTATCTGAATCTATAGTTGTGTTTGATTATATTTAATTTTTCAACACGGAACATTAAGAATGCATCACAAATCCAACAGAAATATATTAATTACTTTGTTTTAAAAGAGGGCATAATCCCGAGTTATTTGGGACTATATTTAATCTGTGTGCTGAGCAAGTTATTTTAAAGGCTGGACCCTATGAAGAAGAATGTGACATCAAGTGTGGAAGAAAACTCATCAATAACCTTCATTATGCAGATGACACAGCCTTGCTTGCTGAAAGGGAAGGAGCCTTGAAGCCATTGCTGCAGAAGATCAAACAAAGCAGACTTCATTATGGATTGCATCTCAACATAAAAAATTCTCCCCACGAACTGATAGGCAATATCATGATTAATGGAGAAAATGCTGAAACTGTCAACAACTTCATCTTACTTGGAACCACAATCAATACACTTGGTACCAGCAGTCAAGAAGCCAAGAAACATATTGCACTGGGAAAATATACCATCTGGGACCTTTCCAAATTTTTGAGGAGCAATGATGTTAATATGAGGACTGAAGCATATTTGATTCAGGCCACAGTGTTTTCAGTCACTTGCTATGGTGCTGAGAGCGGAACAATGAATAAGGATGACAGAAGAAGAATTGATGTCTTTGAACTATAATGCTGGAGAAGAGCACTGAATATCCCACAAACTTCCAAAAGAACAGATATGTCTTGAAAGTTGCAGCTGAGTCCCTCTTGGAGGCAGAGATGATGAAGTCTCATCTCACATACTATGGACATGTTGCTAGAACAGGCTATTCCTTGGAAAAAGGGACATCTTACTTGGAAAGGTAGAGGGTCAACAAAATAGAAGAAGTCCCTCAACCAGGTGTATTGACACAGTGACTACAGCAATGAGCTTGACTATGATGACTGTTGTATGATCATGGCACAGGATAGGTCAGGGTTCAGATCAGTTGTTCATAGGGTCACTACATGTCACACTCAACTTGACAATACCTAACAATAATAGCATATATTAATATAGTCACTTGATAATTCCCCTAATGGAGCCCACCAAAATCAACAGAAAAGAAACTTTAAGATAATGTCTTTAACAGGTATTTTGCACATGGTAGTTTGGTTCTATGCAAAGGCGTTTGACTATGTGGATCATAACAAACTGTGGCTGACTCTGAGAAGAATGGGAATCCCAAAACACTTGATCATGCTAATGAGAAACCTATCCTTGGACCAAGAGGCAGTCATCAGAACAGAGCAAGGAAACACTGCATGGTCCAAAATTGGAAAGGGCATACGCCAGGGATGTGTCCTGTCTCCATTCATTTTCAACCTGTATGCAGAACAGATTATCCGGGAGGCTGGGCTCTATGAGGAGAAATGTGGGGTCAAGATTGGTGGACGATCTATCAACAATCTGCGATATGCAGATGACACAACCCTGCTTGCTGAAACTGAGGAGGACCTGAAGCACCTGCTGCAGAGGGTCAAGGACTGCAGCCTCCAATATGGATTGAGGCTCAATGTCAAGAAGACAAAGATTCTCATCACTGGACCAGTTGGCAGCATCAGGATGGATGGTGAAGAGATTGAGATTATTCACAGCTTTAGTTTGCTTGGCTCCACAGTCAACACTCTTGGCACCAGCAGTCAGGAAATTAGAACATGTATTGCAATGGGAAAGTCTGCTGTTAGAGACCCCTCCAAAGTACTGAAGAGCAATGGTGTCTCTTTGGAGACTAAGTTGCATCTGATACAGGCAATGGTCTTTGCTATCACTTGTTATGCATCAGAGAGTTGGACAATGACTAGGGAGGATAGAAGGAAAATTGATGCCTTTGAGCTGTGGTGCTGGAGAAGAGTATTGAGGGTACCATGGACTGCTAGGAAAACAAACAGATTCATCCCAGAAAGGGTCAAACCGGCCTGCTCCTCCGAGGCAAGGATTCTAAGGCTCCATCTGACATACTTTGGACATGTTGCAAGGAGGGACAGGTCCTTGGATACGGACATCATGGTTGGTAGGGTGGAGGGACAGCACAGAAGGGGAAGGCCCCCTATGAGGTGGACTGATTCAGTGACTGGGGTAATCTGGATGGGGGTGTCGGACACGGTGCGAATGGTACAGGACAGAGCAGAGTTTTGGGATGTTGTACATAGGGTCACTATGAGTCACAAGCAACTCAATGGCACATAACAACAATGGTTTGGTTATATTGTTTAGGTCAAATATATTTATTCACATAAGTAAAAATTAAAATTCTTGCTATGTAAAAAATAACAGAGTAAGTAAAAGACTGAGAAAACATTTATATATAATAGCTACAAGGTATCTAATAATAGATGCACTTTACCAAATGAGTTCCTGGAAGTAGATTTTGTGGATAAACTCTAAGGTTCCAAATGAAAAATCGGCAAACACCTTACTGCAGCACACAATAATGACTTTAAAACAATTTTGTAATTTTTATTAGCAATCTTAAAAACGTCTGTTTTGAGAGGACTCACTGTGATTTCACTTCTGCAAATCTCCTAAAAGGGAGTTCTAGTCGGTGAGTCTAGGGAGCTCCAGTAGCCTAATGGCAAGAAAATCTACTGCAATCCCAAAAACATATGGTTCAAATCCACCAGCTGCTCCCACTGGAAAAGGAAAGTCAATAAGCTTCTGTGCTATTAGCTGTCGCTGAAGACCTGCTGGAGGGCCAGCTATGGATTGGTGCTGACTCAATGGTGCACAAAACAAGTGGCTATTTCATATGGTCATTTATATACATTATGCTTTAATAAATTAATCACCATTGATCTATGCCTACCATTACCCCATCTTCTCAGGTACCCATTGGATCTTTCTAATTCCTTCACCTCCCTCTGCCCACCAAACTCTGTCATTGTAGTGATTTTACCCCTCCCCACACTTTGCCCTTCTGTTCTCTTTCCCTTTTACTATTGGACTTTTATACACATCTTACTGCTATCCTTCTAGTTTTTCATTGATGGTCTTGAGCAGTAATTATCCTTAAGAGACTGAATTAATTCAGTCAGCATAATGCTGTCTAGATTCTCCCATGTTGTATATTATTTTACAGTTATTGCTCCTTAGTGCTGCCTAGTATTCCATTGTGTGAATGTATCCTAGTTTCTACGTTGGTAGAAAAAAATTTTTGGTAGAAAAAAATGAGAAGTGACCAAAATACTCATTCAGAATAATTATGTCAAAAGGGTATATCCCCTTTAAGAATACTGCATAGTTGCCTCAGGATTATATTATGCCACCATCAAGTTATAGGTGACTCATAGCAACCCTATGAACAAAAGAACTGAACACTTGTATAACATTCATCGTTTCTCCACATTCATAGGGTTTCCAGAGGCAAGCTATCTCAGAAGTGGATGCCACTCCTGCTTCCAAGCTTGTTTTAATTGGGGGGCTCCACCAAACACTGTCCCCCATGGGTAACCATTATCACATTTGACACATCATTGTCAGAGTGTATAGTATCACAGAAACCACAAATTATAGTGACTAAAAAGAATTGTAATGCACAATTACTAATTATAACACTATAAATTATTATGATCACTGCATCAACATAAAATGCTTAGAGAGAGAATAATGTGTGTATTTGTATCTAATAACACACAATATTATTATTCCATACTTAAAAATACATCAAAATAGTAATAGCAATGATATGGGAACAAGGAGAACAGGATTATAGTTATTTGTACTATTTTTATCATATTTTCTGTACTTCATTTGATAAGCAGATAATTATTTAATAATTTCAAAAATGTAAAAAGTAAAAATAAAATGCAGAACAAAACCAAACACACAAATGGAATGAGTGTAACTCAATTTGGGCATTTTTCAGTACAGTGTGTTTCTATTTAGTTCAGCAAAATGCTGGGAATATTTTCAGTGCAATCAAACACCATTTGTTTCTTTTCAAAGCCTTACTTTGGAGGAAGCGTTACTGTGGGCCCAATCTTTTGAAAAGCTGATGGCTACAAAATGTGAGTATTGTGTGCATATTACCTTTAAATGAGTAGCAGTTTCATTCTTAGCAATAAGAGGGACAGACTAGTTGATGCGTGTAAGCTGCCTCTAACAGCTTTCCAGAAGACAACTGCCACGGTTAAAAAAAGGAAACCTGAAAATAGTTTGTCATGTCAGCTATTATTATTTTCTTTGGTGATAATTAAAACAAGATTAGTCACTGTGAATATTTATCCTTTGCGAGTATATGTGTAAAATCCCTTGGGAGAAATGCTGAAATAGTAACACATACTGAAATAGACTATCTCACCATACCCTTCTAAAGTGAAGAAAGAAAAATTTCACCATTCTTAATGTCTTTAAAAAGAAGAGTAAATTTGTAATGTGATATTCTAAAACTCCTCTTCAAAGATTGTTTCCAGCTTTACCAGTCTCTTTTGCAATTAACTGCTTCTGAAAATCCACCAGAGTGTCAGCTATGGGTCAATTTCTACTGCATGGTACACAATTACAGCAACAATTTAAGTGAGGCTATTCATCTGGGAGCTTTGGTGGCCTACTGGCAAGAAGCTGTGCTGCAATCCAGAAGGCGTGCAGTTCGAGGTTGCCGGCTACTGTGTGGAAGAGGATGGGTTATCTCCTGTGCAATTAACTGCCTCAGAAAACTGGCTGGAGGGTTAGCTAGGAGTTGGTTCCGATCCTATTGTACAGAACAAAGATATTTAAGGCGCTCTGGTATCATAGCATGTTAGATGTTGAAATGCTGACTAAAGAGTTGGTGGATCAAATCCTCTGTGGGAGAAAAATGAGGCAGAATCTTCCTCTAAAGAGTACAGCCTCAGAAACCTGATAGAGGGTTATCCTAACTCAGAGCTCCTGGAAAGCAGTGGGCTTAATTTTTTTTCTGTCCTCATTTACACAATCTGCATGTACTTACATGCAATTATACATTAACTTGTATGTAAATAAGTCATTGCCAATGAGTCAATTTGTACTCAATTTTGAAATAAATTCTGACTCTCAGTCACTCTCCAATTGGTTTTTGAAACTGTAAATCTTTACAGGAGTAGACTGCCTATCTTTTTCCTACAGTGCACTTGGTGGGTTCAAATGGCCAGCTTTTCACTTAGTCGCTCAGCACACAATACACACACCACCCAAGCTCTCTTGTAACGGATAAGGCACTTAAACCATAGACTAAACACTGGAAATATGAAGAAGGTTGTACATTTATGAATAGTCAACTGAATCCGGGTTAGGGAATTGAGATCCTGTGCCTGCAACACAACCGCCTCTCATAAAATAGTAGTTATTCCTTTTACACCTCTTAGAATTTACAATTTTCCTTGCCTACGTATAAAGGCAAGGCACAAAGTAGAAAAATAAAAAACACTAGAAGAAAAACACATACAAATATCTGGTAGATACTCAAAGTTTCTGTTGCATTTGGCAATTTATTTGGATACAGTTTCCTTCCTTCAAGGTGTTTGGTAGTTTTGGGTAAGACACTCATCTTTTGTTGAAGGAAACAAGGACTTTCCTCTCCAATTAACTGAGAGAGAAAAACAACTTCCCCTAAAACTGGCGTCCTGAATTTGGATTTCTAGCCTCCCTAAGTATAAATTAACAGAGGTCTGGTAGCTTAGTGGTAAGGAGTTGCACTGAGAACTCAAAGGCACATGGTTCAAATCTACCAGCTATTCCATGGAAGAAAGATGGGCACTTTCTTTCTGTGTGATTTACTGCCTCTGAAAACTCTAGAGGGTCAGCTACATGTCAATTCCAACTCAATGGTACACAACAACAGCAACAATAGCAACCTATAAAGTTCAAGAGAAAGCGCTCTAGTGGCCTAGTCCATAGGAAGTTGTACGGATAACATAAAGGCCACATCTCTCTGTTGGTTTGAATCTATGAATAAATACTCAGAGACATGAGTCAGCTATGAGTCAATTCATACTGAATGCAAAAAGTATTAATAAATTATAAGAGAATGTAATTCTGCTTGTTAAAACCATGCACTTGTGTTGCCTCTGTCATAGTGCATCAGGTAACCTAAGGTCCAAACTTTTGTATCTGGCTGCAGTTCTTTTCTTCCATAAAATCAATACTGCCTTTTACTTTTCAGGAATTACTCATAGTGTGTGATCCAATTTACTAGCATAATTGAATTTTTCAAAAATATATCCTTTCTGCCAAATGTCAGTATGTTGGAATGGGAAGAAGAGAAAAAAGCATATGTATAGTTGTTTGGAGTTAATCTCTGTCTCATAATTCTATACCCATATTTTGCAATATTGCCAAATCTCCTTCTGAGAGTTTCATATTCTTCAGCTATAAAATGGAGGTAAAATTACCTACCTTTTAAGTATTGTTGGGTTGTTTATGGCTCTAGATTACCATAGAGTAGGAACCAACTCATAGCTGTCATTCCAGCAAGTTTTCAGAGGCAGTAATTACACTTGAAGCAACTGCTCAACCTTCCCCCATAGAGTGACTGGTAGTTTTGAACTCCATGCCTTTGGAATTGCAGCCCAGCTTCTTAACACTAGGACACAAGAGCTCCTATTAAATGGTAGGCTATATACAAAAAAACATGGTTCAGTGACTAATGCAGGGCCACTCACTCATTCATTTTCTTGAAGTCAGAACCAACTCATAGCTGATCCTCCAGCAGGTTTCTCAGGCTATAAATTGCACAGAAGGAGACTGCCCATCTTTCCCCCACAGAGTGGATCACAAACAAAAAAGAAGTATGACCTTTCCCTTAGCAGCAAAGTCTTTATGGACGAGGCCAGTAAAGTTCCCTGACAAACGGTAGGCACAAAATAATTGATAAACATTTTATTAGTGGTAAAATATAGTTCTGACTATTATTATCTTATCTCTATTGCCTACTACAGAAGTCTCAAATTTCCAGTTTGATGTTTAGAGCTTTGTATCCTGTAATTCCAAATTGTATGTCCAGCTGTGATTCTTCCCAATCTGCTTTTCTGCTACCATGGTCATTGTTCTACTTTTTTACATGCAACCCTTGTAAACGTTTTAACTCCTTCTTCTATTTTGTTAGTATCATTCCTTGCCGGAGGAGATATTGAACATATCACAGACTGCTAAGAAAATTAATAGGTTTGTCATGGAGAAGGTGAAACCAAACTGCTCCTTGGAGGCAAGGATTTTTAGACTCTGTCTCGCATACTTTGGGCATGTACCCAGGAGGGATGCAGTCCTTGGAGAAGGAAATCATGCTTAAAAGGGTCAAGGGCCAGCACAGGAGACGAAGACCTCAGATGAGATGGATTGTCACGATAACTGGGGTAATAAGGGTAGGACTGTCAGAGACAGTGAGGTTGGCACAGGATAGAGCAGGGTTCAGAGCTATTGTGCATACGGTCCCTATGAGTTTTGGTCAACTTGATGGCACATAGCAACAGCTGTGTACATTGGGATTTTTTCAATTATTCTTTCACTAGATTATAAATTCCTTAAGAACACAGACCAACTCCTATTAATTTTCTGCTTCTTGAGAGACTGAAAATGTGTTGTGTACCTACTGGGCATATAATAAATATTTAATAAGCTAAGTCAAATATTGATTAAAAAGTCAAAACCTCAGTCCATATTATCTTAGAGTTTCTATACCAGTCCTGGAAGTCTTATAAATAAAATAAATCATTACTTGGAAATTATGCTAAATAAGTCTACCTAGAATTAGCATTTTAGAGCTCTAGTGTTATGTGGATAAGCAAAATCTATGGAAAATTTAGCAACAGGAAGATCACACACAGCTCTTTATGAAACCAATAAAAACAGAACAAAACTCCTGTAAAATCTATATAAAAATCCAATTATCACATAATAAAAAGGTGATAAAACAAGTAATGCTATGCATTAGTTAATCAAAATGATAAAAGTAAGAATGCAAACTTTAAACACACGAAGAATAAAAGGTGCCTTTGTATTGTTAACTTGCTATACGACATTAATATTCAAATTCAGGACACTGCTGAAGTGTTTCTGAGAGCTGAGACATGGAAATGCCTTTTTAACATATAGACTAAGAGACTGTTTCTAAGAACACATGGTTCAGAAACTGGAACGTAACGGAAATGGTCTCAATACATTAACAGGACTTGGCTTGGGAGACATTTTCTGGAGAACCATTAAGTAATAGTCATCACAGTGCAATTAAATTCAACTTCCTTCTCAGAAAAGGGGTTCCAAGAAAACTATTCATTATAGAATAGAACTATGGCAAAATTTAGATGATAGCTAGAAACTAAGAATGTTAATAACTTAGATGCTGTCTGTTGTTGTTGTTATGTGCCATCGAGTCACCTGCAACTCATAGCAACCTTATGTACAACAGCCGTAGACCCGGCTCTATCCTGTGCCAATCTCACTGTCTCTAACACATCTACTCCCATTACCCCAGTCATTGAATCAAGCCATCTCATAGAGGGTCCTCCCCTCCTGCACTGTCCCTCCACCCTCCCAAGCATGACTTCCCTTTGCAAGGACTGGTCCCTCTTTGCAACATGTTCAAAGTATGTCAGATGAAGCTTCATAATCCTTGCCTCCAAGGAACAGGGTCATTTAACCCTCTCTAGGACAAACCTGCCTTTGCAATGACCATTTTCAGTCTTCCTGGATGATACCCTTAATACCCTCCCACAACTCATCTGGTCTTCCCTCATTAGTGTTCAAGGCCTCAAACCTGTTCCTGAGATGGTTCTAAAATTCAGGTGGGATAGACTCAAAGTCATATTTTGGTTCTCATGGATTTGGTTTAAATTTCCTCAGCTTCAGCTTGAACTTGCATATAAGTAGTTGGTGGTCTGTTCCACAATCAGCTCCTGGCCTAGTTTTCACAGCTGATATCGAGCTTCTCCAGTGGTTCTTCCACAGATGTAATCAATCTGATTCCTATGCATACCATCAGGTGAAATCCATGTGTATAACCTGTGTTTATGTCTCTTAAAAAACATATTTGCCATGAATAAGCCACTGATTGTGC